GTGCTAAATTTATTTATATTCAGAAAATATTTTCAATCTTTTGCCAGACTCTTTGATACCAAGTAGACTGGTAGTATCAGTAATGCTTTCAGTAGTGACGGAAGTTGGTGCACTCTCTGTTGCGTTGATTGATACTTCTGTTGTATTTCCAGCAACAGTAGTGTTCCATTGTGGTGGAGCCCAGGTGGAGTTGGGAGGAGCCAAAGTTGAGTTCCACTGTGTGGTGCCCAAGTGGAATTCGGTGGAGTTAAAGTTGAGTTCCATTGTGGTGGTGCCCAGGTGGAATTAGGTGGAGCCCAGGTGGAGTTCCATTGTGGTGGTGCCCAGGTGGATTAGGTGGAGCCCAGGTGAGTTCCATTGTGGTGGAGCCAAGTGGAGTAAGGAAAAGCCCAGGTGGAGTTCCATTGTGTGGAGCCCAAGTGGAGTTAGTGGACCCAGACGGAGTCGGTGGACCCAAAGTGGAGTTCCATTGTGGTGGTGCCCAAGTGGAGTTAGGTGGAGCCCAGACGGAGTCGGGTGGACCCAAAGTGGAGTTCCATTGTGGTGGTGCCCAGGTGGAATTAGGTTGAGCCAAAGTTGAGTTCCATTGAGGAGGAGCCCAGGTGGAGTCGGTTGGACCCAACGTGGAGTTCCATTGAGGTGGTGCCCAGGTGGAATTAGGTTGAGCCAAAGTTGAGTTCCATTGAGGAGGAGCCCAGGTGGAGTCGGTTGGACCCAACGTGGAGTTCCATTGAGGTGGTGCCCAGGTGGAATTAGGTGGAGCCAAAGTTGAGTTCCATTGAGGTGGTGCCCAGGTGGAGTTAGGTGGACCCCAAGTAGAGTTCCATTGAGGTGGTGCCCAGGTGGAATTAGGTGGAGCCAAAGTTGAGTTCCATTGAGGAGGAGCCCAGGTGGAGTTAGGTGGACTCCACGTAGAGTTCCATTGTGGTGGTGCCCAAGTGGGGGTCAATTGTGGTGGTGCCCAAGTGGGAGTCCATTGTGGTGGTGCCCAAGTGGGAGTCCATTGTGGTGGTGCCCAAGTGGGGGTCCATTGCGGTGGTGGTGGTGGTTTAGGATTATTGAAGCTACAAATTGAAAGACAGCGTTCGTATTTAGCTGATGCTTTTGCCAATATGCGCATCATTTGCTTCAATCTATTATCTACGCAATTTTGTTCATTATAAGGTAACGAAACATAATTGAGTTCACGGAATAGCCTTGAAATCTGCAAATAAATTACATATAAATAATACGTAAAATGAGAATCTTCCGTTACCAAAGTAAATACACATTTAATTACCAGATGGAGTAGCATTTAATTTCGAGCTAGTTGAGCTGTGCAGAGAGCAGCGTTGAATGCCTTCCAGAAATTGCTGCTGTATTCTTTCAACGCCATGCAACTGCATGTAGATTTCCAATAGGTAGTTATTGACACGCATACATTGTCTAATGGCAAAGCCGCCAAATACAAAGTGCTCTCAATTTGTCCAGCTAATAGTCACCGCATATTTCCTGGGACCATCCTGCATTATTGTGTCGTCTAGATATGGTTCCTTTCGTGTGTCGGTTGGAATATCGCTTCGAATAAAGTTGCAGCATTTTCTTTTAATATTTCGGCACCTTTCGAGTTTAGTGATTCGTTGTTCACTGGTAGATAAGCGTAAACCTGTAGGAAGTGTTATTGTTATTTTGTATTCTTGGCAATTATTACTGACTTACGCTTTGCAGCAGCAGGCAAACTGCCAACACCTTCCACGTACACCACATCGTTCGTTCTGTTGATTTGCAACTCGAAATTCGGCTTCTTATATATAATTATTATATCAAATAACTGCAATAACAAAGTTTTTAAACTTTTTATTATTACCAAAGTTAACGGCTTTCAATAGTATGGCACATGTGAGCATTGTGATAAGTAAACAAACGCAATTGCAAAAATATAATATAAAGAGATTTGATGAATAACTTTAAATTTACGGATATCTAATATTCGTTTTTTAATAAAAGTCCTGAAACTTTTGAATTGCACCTTGTATAATGTTATTTCTGCGCAGTCCTACTCAATTCTCAAGTACCTTTTCGAACAGTTCAACAATGACTGTACAATACCTTATGACTATCATAATATTTCTTGTTGACATATCAACATTTCTTGAGTCATTATTCATTCAGCTTGTTAATTTCCGTTTAGGTATTACCCACTTAACGCCACACTTGTTGACCATTTCATGCGGGTAGTTACCTAAAATTAAATTGGTAAGATAACAAAGCCAGGGTGTTTGAATTTGTATCGACTATTAGTCACACTTCCGAACGCTAACGTTTATGATTCAGCACCTAAGCTTCGGATTCACTTGAAGTTTTGGTCACCGACAATTTATTAGCTGTGTAATAAATTAGCTTTTTTATCTAAATATCAAATAAATATTTTAACTTATTAACAGTATTTGCCATGCTGTTTAATAAATGCATAAGTGTTAATATTTCAATTAAAATGCCGATATTGAAAGAAATTATTGACCTTTTTGACCACATAGGAAAATGCATTCATTATAATTAAGAATTTTAATAGCAGCGCTTTTTCGACTACTAAAGTATGAAACTACTGCGCTGTTCTACTCAATAGCGAACTGCTACAGCAGAACTATCAGCACATTAGACTATCCGAACTACGACATTCGGGTCTACGTAACCGGAACGAACCCGGCTTTTATCCCCTTAAAGACAGTCAACTCGGCCAAATTCGGCCACTTCAACAACAACTATCTGAGTTATAAAGCAGCACTACCGCACTGAAGTCAATCACAAAAGAGAGCCAAGTTAAATACAAACTACTATTCGTGTATCGTCTCTTACAGACTACAGTCGCAACTACTCTTTTTGAATGTGCTCTCAAATCTCAGCCAGCTGTAGCGTTTACAACGGGATCTTCTTTTACCGTCCTTACGGTATTTCTGATTTCTGATCTCTTTAAAACTTTATTATAATATCTTAAGCTTTGGCTTGAGGGTCGTCCAAATCGGTTAAAAACCGTATTGAATTTATTTATATTTACACTCTTTGCATACTTTAGCGAAAATTTTTCTAGTTCGTGAAATTTATATTAATAAAAGTCATCCCGTGTTACAAAATTCGAGACATAAATAAATATTGATCGATTAATTTGCTATAAAACTTTCAATTATATTTAACGCAATGTGTGTGTTTTTTTTTTTTGATACCGCAGTGCAGATAATTTACAAGTCTTATCTAATCTGACATTCACCTATTATTACTCTTACAAAATATTTCAAGTAGCTGTCAGTATAAATCTAATAATAGAATCAGTTCCATTTCATTTGTTTCTTATAAATATAAGGTTTATACTTAGTAACTGAACTTCAGAATAATAAAATAATTAATAGATAACATATTTTGTATGTGCCGTAACTAACTATCGATAATGCAAGAATTAATTAACTTTCACTTTTTTAACTCAGAAAAGGATCAACTTTTAATTAATGACGAACATATATACTTTATTATCAGTGATTCATTGCCACACTGTACGTCGATTACTTACGGCCTTAACTCTCCCACAATCAGTAAGTTATGACTAGTTTTAGCAATACCGCAACCCTTATGTAAAAGAAATTACGAGCCATAAATCCCACCCTGTCCTAAAGAATTTATGAGTTCTTATGACCCACTTGAAATAGTCTAAATTTAATAATTTCAACATATTATATTTCATTAATACGCGTGCTACCACTAGTATAGATAGGCGATGAAAACCGGTAAGGTAGCATCACTAAATCTGCATGAAATCCACGACTACGAAAACTAAGTTGTTACTTATTTGAATACAAACCTTTATTCTCACCTTCAAACTAGGTAGCTCAACCATCAATAATATGCCAACCCTTAATCCAATTTTTCATCGACTTGCTAAAAGTCTTTGCTGCGATGGCCTTCAATGTCACCAGCGAATTTTGGTTTTTTCGATTGCGCCTCCGATTTTCAGCCCCATTCGCTAGATTCTTGAACACCTTTGACGTCGTCATATTCATAAGCCCACGACTCGCCATTAGTAACGATACGTTTGCGCACCCAGTTTAAATGGACTAGTTCAGGTGAGTTTATTGGGAATGGTAATATTTGGAATATGTGATCCCAAAGAATTTGTGATTTTATTACATGACTTCGATTCAACCGCACTTCATGGAAGTTTCCCATTTCCTGAGTACAAATTTTATCAATTCCATATACATAGCATATGCTATGTGATGCTCTGTATTTTTCAAGTACACATATTTCAGATCTTCGGTAAACTGACAATTCCACTACTTCCATGTATTTGGATTTCAAAATCCGATTCAACATATCGGATGAGCGTTAACGCCATAACTTGGTCAAGCTCTGGACTTCAGTTAACAGCTCTCTAACGCAATTTGTATACCCTAAACATATTAAGTTTATCAAGAAGTTTGTATAATTTAATTAAGTCATGTCTGTCTGCCTGCCCTCAGTTTTTGAGATATCGTTTTGAAATTACAATTGCTTTTTCTCCTCAAGTAACTGCTCATTTATTGGAGCAGCCAATATCAGATCATAGCATAAAGCTACCACACAAACTGAACGACCAATATCAAATCCTTTTAAAGAAAACAGTTTTATTTGATAAGATATCTTTATGAAATTTGGCTTGAATTTTTTTCCAAGGCAGAGGTATAATCTTCGAAGAAATGTTTAAATCGGTCCACTACAGCACACAAACCAATTTATGGAAATCAATAGCTTTTATGGAAAACCTTTTTACTTGTAAAGAGTATTATAGCTTCGGTAAAATCGTTTTTTCTCGATTTTATAGCAATTTGCTTCGTTCTCAAAATCTTTTTAGCTGTCTGTCCGCATTTGCAACTCTTTGCACTATCGAATATCGGTCTCGCTTTTTCGCAGATCGTATGTATTAATGCATGAGCATGAATTCGCAAACCAGATTTACATATGGATATCACTTTTAAATTTTGTACGCCTCTGCACCTCCGCTTAAGTCCATCACATTCGCTTTCATTCAAAATTATATTCACATAGTACGTACACACGTATGCCAACACGTGTGTGTGCGATTTTAAATAAATGCTAACAGCAAACTGTCTGCGGTATCTGCTTTCACTTTAGCTGATTTACTACACACAACAGCTGTTGCGGAAATTGTCAGCGCCAACGCCGCCGCTGCTCAGTTGAGCGAATGCGATCATAACATATTAATGTCACTTATCATATAAACAGCTACTAGGATTTGCTGCGACCACCCAAACACACACAAACACGTGTACACATAAACACATGCACTTGTGGGTACAGGAATATCGACGTGTATGTGTCGGTGCTTATATATGTATAACAGTGTGTGGGTAACATTTGCATACTATACTCGTATGTACGAGTATATCCACATACAAACACAGCGTCATAGCGAGTGTGAGCAATCAGCATGGAAGCGTATGCACTTGATGAGCTTATATCCGTGGCAGGTGGGCACGTAACCATAGCATTCAGCATATGCTTTCCGCAATACCGCTACCTACATATGCATATATTTAATATGCCACGGATATGCTTGTGTGCACATTCAGTTTTGGCTTGTATTAGAGGCAACAATTTTCAAAAAATTATACACTAGATAGCTTCGTTTTTACTACACACACTTTAAAATAGATAAATAAAATTTAGTCTACGATTTAGTTGTTGAAAATTTAAAAAAAATTCCAAATTTTATTATTTCTTTACGCAAAAAAAAAAAAAAATTAAGTATAAAAAAGTACACTTACAATTTTATTTTTTTAAACAAATAAATAATTTTTTTTTTTAATTTTGCTTTCTTGGAATTTTAAATTAAAATTTGCGGCAACACTCATTCAAAATATCCTTTTCAAAGACGTTTTCTAAATCCACATAGTTTGCTGAACAGCAATATTAAGCTTACACATCAAAAAGCTGTACATAAATAAACAGCTGGCAACCCTTCTCACAAATTTTTTGCATTTTTGGTAGCTTGGTAGCTATATTATAGCAAATTGTTTATCACAACTATTTCATTAAATTAAAATTGAAACAAGAAAAAATATTAACTTCGGTTGCACCAAAGCTCTAATACCCCTCACAAATACAAGGGTTCCTTACAAGAACTTGATTCCGATCTAATTTCGTAAAGATATCTCGTCAAATAAAAGAGTTTTGCACACAAGCACCTTATTCCGATCGATCAGTTAATATGACAGCTATATGCTATAGTAATCCGATCTAAACGATTTCTTCGGAGATTAAACTGTTACCTTAAAAACTAACTCATGCTAAATTTCGTGAAGACATTACGTCATATAAGAAAGTTTCCCAAACAAGCATTTGATTCCGATTGTTCAGTTTGTATGGCAACTATATGCTATAGTGTCCGCCTTCGAACGTTTCGACAAACGAGCTTTGTTTTGTTGAGAAAAGTACAAGTGCAAAATTTCAGATCGATAGCTTGAAAACTGAGGTACTAGTTCGCGTATATACAGACAGTCAGACGGACATGGCTAAATCAACTAAGCTCGTCATGCTAATAATTTATGTATATATTTTATAGGGTCTCCGACGTTTCCTTCACGGTGTTACAAACTTCGTGGCAAACTTAATAAACGGTGTTCAGGGTATAAAAACAAAACCTTAAAAAAATGTTTTCGAATGACAGCTCTCTTAAACCTCTTTCTAGTGTTTAACATACATATATACTAATTTCCTAA